ATGGTTGCAAACGACATTATATGACACCAAGATGTATTCCCTGAAATTTCAAGACTTTTTGACACCGAGTCTGGAAATCTTCAAAATTTCGCAAAATGCATTGATATTTAGTCTTCAATTTTGGATTTTTTTTTACTTTTTTCGCTTGGAAATAAAAATTGCCAAAATTTTTACCATGGTCCCTAATATCCTCCGGGAGTCCAATTGGCTAGCTAATTTGCCTTTAAACGGTCAATTTACCGGTTTACAACTTGCACCGATTTTTTAACTCAAGCCTACCTCGAACATTTATGACAGCATATCATGATCATAAATGGTTTCAAACAACATTATATGACCTTGAGATAAATTCCCTAAAATCTCAAGTCTTTTCGACACCGGGTCTTGAAACCTCCAAAGTTTCTCAAAAAACGCTGATATTAGCCTTCAATTTTGGAATTTTTTGATTTTTTTTTGCCCGTAAATAAATATTACCGAAATATTTACCATGGTTCCTAATACCTTCCGGTAGTCCAATTAGGTGGGTGGAATCATCCAATTTGCATTTAAACGGCCAATTTACCGGTTTACAACATGCACTAACTTCATTAACTCAAACCTACCACGAACATTTATGACAACATATAATAATACATTATGGTTTCAAACGTCATTATTATATGACCCCGAGATGTATCTAATATAATATCATTTCTTTTCGACACCTGACCCCGAAACCTTCGAAATTTGTACAAAAGCGTGGATATTATAGCCTTCAAATTAAGGAATTTTTTGACTTTTTTTCGCCTGGAAATAAAATTTGCCGAAAAGATTTCCATAATCCCTAATACCCTCCGGGATTCCAATTAGGTGAGTGGAACCATCCTATTTGCCTTTAAACGACCAATTTATCTGTTTACAACTTGCACCGATTTCATTAACTCAAGCCTACAACGTACATTTATAACAATAAATAATTATCACATATGGTTCCAAACAACATTATATGACCCCGAGATATATTCCCTAAAATTTCAAGAATTTTAGACACCGGGCCCCAAAGACTCAAAAATTTCTCAAAAAACGTGGATATTAGCCTTCAATTTTGAATTTTTTGACTTTTTTTCGCCCATAAATATAAATTACCGAAATGTTTACCATGGTCCCTAATAACCTCCAGGAGTCCAATTGCGTGGGTGGAACCATCCAGTTAGCCTTTAAACAGCCAATTTACCAGTTTACAACTTGCACCGATTTGATTTACTCAACCTTACCACGAACATTTATGACAACATATAATGATCATATTTGGTTCCAAACGACATTATATGACCCTGAGATGTAATCCTAAAATTTCAAGGCTTTTTGACACCGAGCCTTGAAATCTCCAAAATTTCTCAACAAGCATGGATCTAGACTTTAATTTTGGAATTTTTTTGACTTTTTTTCGCCCGGAAAATTAAAATTCCGAAATGTTTACTATGGTCCATTATAACCTCCGGATGGTCCCTAATACCCTCCAGGCATCCAATTGGGTAGGTGGAACCATCCAATTTGCCTTTAAACGACCAATTTACCGATTTACAACTTGCATTGATTTCAGTAACTAAAGCCTACCACGAACATTTATGACAACATAAAATGATCATATATGGTTCCAAATGGCATTATATTACCCCGAGATGTATTCCCTTGAATTTCAATACTTTTTGACACCGGGCCCTAAAACCCCCCAAAATTTTGCAAAATGCGTGGATATTAGATTTCAATTTTGGATTTTTTTTACTTTTATACGCCCGGAAATAAAAATTGTCGTAATATTTACAGTGGTCCCTAATACCCTTCCAGAGTACACCTGGCTAGGTGGAACCATCCAATTTCCCTTTAAAAGCCGATTTACCGGTTTACAACTTGCACCAATTTCATTAACTCAAGCCTATTACGTACATTTATTAATTATGACAACAAATAATGGTCATATATGGTTCCAAACAACATTATATGAACCCGAAATGTATTCTCCAAAATTTCAAAACTTTTCGACACCGGGCCCCGAAAACTCCAAAATTTCTCAAAAAGCGTGAATATTAGAATTCAATTTTGGAATTTTTAAACCTTTTTTTTCTCTTGAAATTAAAAATTGCCGAAATGTTTACCATGGTTCCTGATACACTCCAACATTCCAATTGGGTGGGTGGAACCATTCAATTTGCCTTTAAACAACCAATATTCCGGTTTACAACTTGTACCGATTTCAATAACCCAAGCCTACCACGAACATTTATGACAACAAATAGTGATCACATATGGTTCCAAACGACATTATATGACCCCAAGATGTATTCCCTATAATCTCAAGGCTTTTCGATAACGGGTCCCGAAACCTCCAAAATTTCATAAAAAGTGTGGATATTAGCCTTTAATTTTTGAATTTTTAGACTTTTTTTCACCCGAAAATAATAATAGCCGAAATGTTAACCATGATTTCTAATACCCTCTGGGAGTCCATTTCGGTGGGTGGAACCATCCAATTTGCCTTTAAATGACCAAATTACCGGTTTATGACTTGCACTGATTTCTTTAACTCAAGCATACCACGAACATTTATGACAACAAATAATGATCATATATAGTTCCAAACGGCATTAAATTACCCTGAGATGTATCCGCTACAATTTCAAGGCTTTTCGACACCAGGCCCCGAATCCTCTAAAATTTCTCAAAAAGCGTGGATATTAGCCTTCAATTTTGAATTTTTTGACATTTTTTCGTCCCGAAATATAAATTGCTGAAATGTTTACCATGGTACCTAATACCGTCCGGGAGTCCCATTGGGTAAGTGGAACCATCCAATTTGCCTTTAAATGACCAATTTACCGGTTTACAACTTGCACCGATTTCATTAACTCAAGCCTACCACAAACTTTTATGACAACAAATAATGATCATATATGGTTCCAACCAGCATTATATGACCTGGAGATGTATCCCCTTAAATTTCAAGCCTTTTCGACACAGGGCCCCGAAACCTCTAAAATTTCTCAAAAAGAATGGATATTAGTCTTCAATTTTGGAAATTTTTTACTTTTTTTCACCCAAACAAAAAATTGCCAAAATGTTTACCATGGTCCCTAATACCCTCCGGCAGTCCAATTGGGTTGTTGGAACCATCCAATTTGCCTTTAAACGGCCAATATAGTTATCGGTTTACATACAAGTTGCACGGATTTCATTAACTCAAGCCTACTACGAACATTTATGACAACATATAATGATCATATATGGCTCCAAACGGAATTATATGAACCCGAGATGTATCCTCTAAAATATTCACTTTTCTACATCGGGCCCCGAAACATCCAAAATTTCTCAAAAAGCGTGGATATTAGCCTTTAATTTTGGATTTTTTTGCTTTTTTCGCCCGGAAATAAAAATTGCCAAAATGTTTACCGTGGTCCCTAATAACCTCCGAGAGTCCAATTGGGTTTGTGGAACCATTCAATTTGTTTTAAAACAGCCAATTTACCGGTTTACAACTTACACCGATTTACTAGTTTACAACGGCCAATTTAATTAACTTGCACCGAACCCGACTTGAACCAAAATCGACCAATATCCGTTTTAACCCGTCAAAACCCGAATTTAACCCGACTTGTTACTAACCTGACCTAAATTCAACCTGATTCGTTCCTAACTTGACCCGAATTTAACCCAACCTGTTACAAACCTGACCCGAAATCAATACGACTTGTTATTGACCTGACCCAAATTCAACCGGACTTGTTATTGACCCGACTCGAATTTTACCATACATATTACTTACCCATCCAAAAAATTTACCCTGATATGTTACTAACCCGACTCGAAATCAACACAACTTGTTATTGACTCTACCTAAATTCAACCCAAATAGTTCCTGACCCGATTTCAAATCACCTTAAATGCAATTTAGACCACCTTATTATTGTTGATCAGAGCATTTTGTCTTGGGAGACGAAGTCGGTCCAGACCAGCAAAAGAAAGGAGCATCATCCTCAAATTTAAGAGTTAAATATAATATATATTTTTTGTATGGTAAAAGAAGATAATTATCTTCCTAAATTATAGACTATAGTACCCTAGTATATTGCCATATATATTATAGTCAAAGGAAATAATTAGCTTGGTAAAAATGATAATTATCTATTTACAATTAGTTGAACCCGAATATGACCTGACTTGGAAATGACCCGACCTGATTGTAACCTACAAATTATTGACTTGAACATAACCCGACTTGAATTCAAGAATGGCCCGACTTGGAAATGACCCAACCTAATTATAACCCGCAAATTATTAACTTGAACCCTAGAATGACCTGAATTGAAAATGACCCGACCTGATTATAATCCGCAAATTATTGACTTGAAACGAACCCGACTCAAACCTGAGAATGACCCGACCTGACTCTAACCCGCAAATTATTGACATGAACCGAACCCGACTCGAACCCGAGAATTACCCTAACCCGTTTTAACCCATGAAAACCCAAATTAAACCCAACCTAAACCCGACCCAAACCCAATAAGAAGTATGACCCAACTGAAGCATAACCCAACCCAACCCAAACCCGATGGCTTAGGTTATGAAATTAATCTGAAATTGACCTGACCCGAGTTGGCCAGACCCACTTTTACCCAACCCAAACCCGACTAGTTTACCCGAATTGACAGCTCTAGTCCCCACTCCTCAGTCGAGTCACTAAGATTAATTCTCATGGATATTCTGGTACAGTATTTGAGTTTGTGTTTTTGTAACTAGCTGTTACTCTGTTAGGTGTTAGCAGAGTTAGAAAAACAGTTTTGAAAAATTAGCTATCAAAAGTTGGTAAATTAGGTGTTCAGATTCAGATTATTGTCAAATTGATTGAAATGATTTGACAGTAATCCGCAGATATTTCTCCCATGTCATTAGACTTGCCTAGATATCAATCTTAGTCAATACAATAATGAATTAAAAACTTACCATATGGTAAAAAAATGTATCACATTACGCTTTGAACAAAATCTCAAAACTATGTATACAATCATAAAAGTAACCGACGAGTACATTATTGAACAACGTTATCAAAATGAATGCAAGACATTGTCCTTTGATCAATACATCAAACCCAAGATGGTCTGAAACTGAAGACAGAAATAAATGCTTAAAAAATACATTCATCAAAACTTATAAGACTAGGTACATCAAAACTTGTAGGAAATCGATATTTGTTCCAACCATCATGGTCAAAAGAATGGGAAATAAATTACCCGTAAAATGTGAAGAATGTACACAATACATAATACATTGCCTTCTTTCCTAATACAGGAAAGAGAAGCCAACCCTAAACCAAAACTAATATACCCAGTTTACTACATGTATGCTCCACGCCAAAGCTTAAATAATTTGCTCAGTGTCAGAGATATGCCTTAGTTGCACCTGGGCACAAAATGTGTTGCTTTGCCTAAAATTGCAACCACCAGTCTTGACGCAGAAAGAATCAAACACTAAAGCCATACGAGACTTGAGAGATGACAGAAGATTCACAAGTACAATGCAATAGCAAACTCTTATGCTGCCAAGATACCAACAAAACGCTTTTCTGTCTGCTGGCCTCCATTCAATACCAACAAACCCATTATATTTGATACTTCAACAACTTATCCGTCATAGATGGTTCCAAAGATGATATACATTGCTCCCATTGTCCATTTCCAAGCATCTAAAATACAAATACAAGAAACAAAACTTAACCTAGCAATCAAAAGGATCAACCACACAGAAGCACAAGATATAATGCAAAACTCAAACTACATGCGATAAAAAAAAATTGATAACACAACCAAAATACAGTTGGACTTCGGACTTAGAAGATGCATACTGCGCTTAAACCAAAAAATAAATAATAAATAAATAAAAATAAAAATATTGTCTTAGTCCATATCAGATCGAGTGTCACAGGCTCACAGCATAATAGACTCTGCATGCACATGATGCATCAGGTGTGATGCACACAAAAGCATGATGCATGTAAAAGGAACACTTAAACATGTAATTATTCCTAAACACAAATTTTTTTTGTCTCATTGTGCTCACATTGGCAGTACTCTGGGTTTAATACACTAGAGCACTTAGATGGTTGTGCCACCATACTCGATTAATATAATAAAGAATAGCATACCGCCGTGTCATATCCAAAGCCTCCCAATATACCCTTATAGGGCAATATTGTTAAGAAGAACTATACGATGTCATTTTAAAAGTTAATGACAGCAATTACTGAATTAAAACTAATTATTAATAAATATTTCTACAGATATATGACGAAAGAGAGACTAAGGTATTGAGTCAATGCAGACCTGTTTATACCCATGCAACACCTGACATACTTCATTATGCAGATCTGGGCTTTTAATTTCCTGTGGTCAAAGAAGCAACAACATTAACAGCTCAAACAATATCCTCAAACTCTTCTTGTGACAGCTTTTGAAAAAGAAAACTCCTTACATGCCAGCTAGCAATTGCCTTCACCAAGAAGGGAAGGGAACTTAATGCTGCAGTAGGATTCATCTTGACCTGAAAGGAATGAGATAGCAGATTAAAACATTAAGCCAGCAAAAAATTCAAGAGCCATTGTAAAATATACTCACCATTGCACATAAACCTCGAAAAGCGTCTTCTTTTTCTATGTCATCTCGTATCCTGCCACAGCACAGTTGGTTAACAGAATACCAAACTGGGTACAAATGTAGTGTGTGTGTGTGTGCGCGCGCGCACAACATTACATATCAATTCAAAAGCTAAGAAAAGATCCAAAGAATATTGAAAAGAAGAAACAGCTTCGGTACTCCAAACTTCAACATTAAAACATCATGTTAGGCTTGAGCAAGCTTGTAAATAGTAAGGGTGTAAAGGCGTTTTAGGTAGATAAAGTAAAAGTAGAATAAAAGACATTGATAGAAAATGGTCAACGGGCAAAGCTCCAAAGAGTATCAAACAGAAGAATACAGCTTCAACCCTCCAAACATCAACATAAAAACATCATGTTAGGCTTGAGCACACATATTAAGTAAATAGTAAGGGTGTATAGGCGTTTTTAGTAGATAATGTAAAAGTAGAATAGAAGACATTGGTAGAAAATAGTCAATGGGGAACCCACATTACGAGAGAGAGAAGAGAGAGAGAGAGCCCAAATCATATTGGTTTAGTGGGATCAAAATGTTTATCCAAGGTAAATGAAAGTTGTGTGCAGACAGGAGAATCATTTTAGTTATCAATATATAATCAGAGGAGTATACCAGGAGGGGGGGGGGGGGGGGATAATAATAACAACAACAATAATAATAATAATACACTAAGATAGACATAATTCCTTCTGCATTTTAGCTGAAGCAGAGAAAACAGGTGAAAAAGCTAATTATGCAAAGTGTTGAATTCTGACATTGGTACTTACATGGCCAAAGCATTACACCATGGTTGCATGAAATGCTCCATATATGGAGATACAAGCTCGGGACAGGCCCAGGCAAATCTTCCAAGAGTAATGGTAGCATTCTCTATAAGTGACTTATTAAGCTCCTGATGATGGTAAATCACAAAGTTAAATATATACGAAGTATATATGTATATGAAAGATTCAGAACAGAGCTTCATCATTAATCAAAAAAGGGCGATCACCTGTGTATGTTGAAGTATTGGAACTAGGGAAGAAATGACTGTCATTACAACTGGTTTAATATCTTGCTGAGCCTGAAAACAATAGAATGTTAATACACGTATAGAAGCAAGTACAAAAGCCAAAAAAGTATTCAAGCCAAAGGAAAGTAAGAAGTAACATATTTAAAGCACTATAGTGGATGGTTTACATTTTGTAATTAGCCTTAGGTAATGTTGTATTATAGAACTACCAAAACTTCAAAACCACCTCATAATTAGACAACTACTAGAAGGTAGAAGTATTTGTCCAACACAGAGAAATGAATAATCTTATGCGATTCAAGCTAGTCCAAGCTTCAGATTTACCAGATTTAGCTTTGCTCTATTTATTTTTTTATTTTTTTATTTTTTTTTTCTTTTTTGTAAATTTTAATCTCTTCTGTAGCTGGTAGTTTTTACCTTGAATTTATTGGTTCACCAACTCTTCAATTAGTTAGTGTAATTCAAATTTGTTAGAAAATCTCCCTCGGCTTTAACCTAGAAACATAATAGCAGATTTGATGTCCAAGCCTAAAATCAATCAAATACACCCACCTAAAACTTTTGTCATTCCTCTTGACAAGCAAAATGTAATTGGGATCGCATCAGAATAAAGACAGCCATAAAAAGGTGGTAAATAGAAACCCAAATCCTTAACATTTTTACTTAAGGCAAAGAGCTATGACAACACCAACTAGCACTTAATCTTCCCATGAATCAAAAACACTAACCTAGTCCCGGCTAAGACCCATTGAAACACAAAGAGCACTCACATTGAATACGATCAATCTTATGTAGTAAGATTTGTCTATAGATTCTAGATGCAGCATACAAGTGAGCATACCTTCACTGCTAATTCACCGATTGCCCAACAAGCATTATTTGCAACAGAAATCGTATCTTTTATCTTGGAAATATCCTGAGATTAAAAAGCCATATAAGTAATTCCCAGGTAAGGACATGAATCAAATATTTGAAATATAAACCCACTTACCAATTGCTTTGCTGTGATTTCTAAGAACCGTGGCAAGTAAGGGCGGAGATGAACAGGACAAACCTATCAACAAGAACAAATACGTAAAATCTAAAACTTGAAAGGAGGAAGAAATATATCACAGGAGATAGCAACCACCACGGATGATTGAGTCCAAAAGTCATCCTTGCTCTAATTAACAATAATTTATAACAGCAACTTACTCTTGCAAGGTCACCAAGGAGTGCAAAAGCACTCTGTTGGACATCAGGAGCGTCATCCATACAAGATTGCAACAGTAGATCTTTCATGTTACTCTGGGACACCTATTGTTTTTCCAGTACATGTTAGTGATAAAAGCAAAAATCGACTGAAGACAGAACAGATTATTCGAATGGTTCAATCTTTGGATAAGGATCTCAAATGCACGCAAAAAAAATATTGCAAATGACTCAATAATTTATAATAATTCTCATTTTTACATAATTTATGAAGAATTCTCTTCAAAGTAATTGTTTTAGAAAGAGTGTTTTAATGAAGAAAGTAATTGTTTTAGAATGAGTGTCTTAATGAAAGGGGTGGACGCAAAGGATGACAGGACAGCTTAAAGAGCATAGGTAAGATCAAGTAAGAACTAGTATATAATGTACAACAGCAAAAGACAGGATATTACCAAACTCTCTATGCCACTGCCAAGGCCCTCTACGAGTCCAGAGAGTAGATCCAGAGAGCAAACAACAAACTCTCTATCATACTGAACACCAGTTGTAGTTGGATTGACCTAAAATGAAGTTATAATTAGCATAACATTTTCAAGCCAAAGCTTTTCCATATATTACATCTAACAAAAAACAAGCAAGGGATAAAACTGATATGAAATGTTGGTTAAAGATAAGCTTTTCCATATATTACATCTAACAAGAAACAAGCAAGAGATAAAACTGATATGAAATGTTGGTCCAAGATAACATATGGTCGATTACAAAATAAGAAATGACCATCTGTTTCTAAAGAGCAAATCCATGCCCCGCAACTCAGGCAAGAATTATCATAGCCCATGAGCCCATCTGTATTTAATCATTTTGAACTGGGTTTCAGATTCAAATGTTTGTTTGCAATAGATATACACAATATACCAACTTAAAAATTGTTTCCAAATAACTTCATTTGATTAAGAAGATATCAAGCTGACGATTAAGTTTAATGTAATGTTAATGATTTTTTGCAATACTACCGCGATATATGGCATGAAATAATGTCTTATCAACCAAACAAGTATGGAATGAATCGGAAACAATAGCAAAATTAAGATGGCTAACCTTTGCCAATTGTTGCGTCTGGATGATGTTTATGCACCTCTGAAATACAGGTTCAGCAAACTGAGAAAATCCTGGACCCAATGCCTGAAAAACATGCTGTAAATGTCAATCTAGTCTAAAATTTTATAAACAAATAAAAAAAACTGTAATGATGTATCGTATTCGGTAGCCCACTTTTAAAACTGTCCTTATATTTTTTTTTCAAACAGCTCAAGAGTAAGCCCATAAGTTTCTTAGCATTACATTCCCAGAAAATTAAGGCATGACTTTCTGACTCTGGACATTGTAAACCAATTCGACAGAGAAGTGTTAGTAATACACAAAATAAATGTATACAGACAACACTAGGTGCACAAATCAGAGAAAATTTCATGAAAGACCCCACCTATCCGAGGGAACATTGAATTGGGAAATCAGTTTGCTCTTTCAACACAATCCTCAAACACCCATTTTATGTACAGAAGGTAACTAGCTCTAAACAGAATAGTGGAATTACCTGTGCTATAGATGTAAAGCACTCAAGCAATGGGAATATATCCCTATCGAAACTGGAAAGTTGTTGCCACTTCGATATCAGCGGAGGCATTAGGATTTCTAGATACTTAGGCTGCAATTACATACAGCAAGATTTATGTTCATTAATACATATGTTGATTACAGAATAACAAGCTAAATTTAGCATAACAGTGAAGTGAAGCACATGATGGAACATAATAAAAATGTTGATAGAGCAATAGTTTTTTATAAGAGGGGCTTACCTGATTTAGCTCCCCTCCGACAGCATCAGCTAAAGTTCCAATAGCATCATAAACGATCCTCAAATTTTTCTTCTACAGTAAGTGCAAAAGCAGCAGATACAACAACAGTTAAAAAGAGTTTCAATGAGAGGATCATATGTAGCAAAAAGAAAAAGGATACTCAGACGACAAAATAAAGAACCTGATATTTGCCAAACGCGCACATCAAGTGCTGCAAAATAATTTCTAAGCGTGGTGCCAGTTCTTCAGCAGCTTCCTATAAAATAAAGCACCAATAAGATGTAAGGAAACACCGAAACTCTGTGAAAAGGGCATGAAAGTTACAGCAAGAACCTCTTCAAGTGTTGCAAAAGCTGAACAAGCAGCTTCCTGAACACGCTTGTTTGTGTCCAATATTCTTCGCAGAAGACCCATTAACACCTTCTCGAATTGTTCATTGCCGTTTTGATCACCAAGGCCCTGCAATTATACAAAAGTGCACTCAGAATGCAAAACCCAAATAACATGTCAAGTCAACTTCTTAAGACATGAAAGAATAAAAGTCAATGCAACTCAATGACGTGGTAAATTAACAATATTGTCAATAAAAATAATGGTTGCCATCCTTTGATACAGAAAAACTTTCCTACGGGTCTTTAAGAGAGAGAGAGAGAGAGAGAGAGAGAGAGAAGGGGGAGGGGGGGTTCTTAATATGTTGGTTGGAGATAAACAGACTACATCCAGTACCTGGCTACCGTCACAATAATCAGGATGAATCATTCTCCAATAGTTATTTATAAAAATAAACTCCACCAATCAATTGAAAATTAAATAAACTACATAGCTTAAACAGAAAAACCAAGCATCCATGCTAAGAGTCTATGACACACCCCCACTCACCAGTACTTCTAAGTTCTAGATGCACTTTACGCAATTACACTAACAAGAAAAGACCTATACTAAAGTCTATATTCTACAAAGAGTTTCAACAAACAAGGAACACAGTGTGCAAGGCATGGTTCCACAGCACACAGCCAATCGTTAATCAAGCTACCAAGGATTAAGCAAATTACACAGATCACTCTACCAAGCTTCATATTGCATCTAGATAAAACCTGTCTTCAGCATCTTCCCTATGAAAGGACACCATTCACTAAATATTAAAAAAAAAACCCAGTGCAACATTCACTTCAATTATGTGGATCATAAAATTCCATTTAAAAAAAAAATTAATTTAGAAAATGCCAACACGTCATATTGCCTAGTGAATAATACAAAGTACCAAACAGCTTCGCTCAATCAAATATTTCATTACTCAGAGACACTATACCTGAACAACAAATTTGCTGAAACGAGAAAGCGTCCAACATGAAATGCTCCGTATAAGAGGAAATTTATCATCCAAGAGAGGAATAAGAAAGCCGACAATCTGCAAATAAAAAAGCTCACGGTAAGTTAAATTAACGAGGGGGAATATATAGACAGTTATGTAATAGAGTTAAAAAGGTATCCTGCATGTTAGGTTGAAAAGATAGAAAATTGAGAACAGCTGAAATAATACTACGTAAAAGATAGGAGTATTTAAACAAGCCATGATGAAGTCCAGTTCTATGCAAGAACACAACAGCAAATTCAACCACTTCATAGCAACACCAGAACATCTTTCAATCATTTCATCACTTGTTGAATTTTCCAAAAAAAATAATAAATCCATTAAAGAACAAATTACTTTACTTTGCTACCCCTTCTTACATTCAGGAAGTGATAGGAAACTGAAAATATGATAACCCAAAAAATATGTGCTTGATTACTGACAACTCCAGCACTCTTATCTATCTATCTACACCACACAACATCAGCATCAGACTACTACACCAACCCCACACCCATAAACACAAAAAAACCTAAGAGTGACAAGAGCAACCCAAGATTCACAACAGATTATTTGGCAAGTGGGGTACAATGCAAGGAAGGATACTTTCAAGCCAATCTGCCACAATAAATACACAGCATAAATATTAAAATACGTTGACCTAGATCTTCCTGCATAGTTACAGACTTGTTGCAATGTCAACACGAATTTATAAAAGACGGGTGTGCAATTTAAATTAGTACTCCCTCCGTCCCATTATATAGTTTTTGTTTGTGTTTTTTCATGGTATTTAATAAATAGGAGGAAAAAGCGGATGAAGTACATTAATAAAAGTAAAAAGTACAATCATAGACAAAAGTTAAAGGAGAAAGTGGAAAAAAGGACAAGGCATGTGCAAAATTCATGGATAAATTAGGAAGTACATTGAATAAAGTTAAAAAAGTGAGGGTATAATGGTCTTTACATACTATCCAAAAAAGAAACAGGAACAACATTTTGAATCTCCAAAAATAGGAAAACAGGAATAATATTATGGGACAGAGGGAGTACTTGTTTTCATTTCAGACATTAAAATGTACCATCAATAAATACTAGGAATTCATTGCATACTGACTAAGTGTTGCCAAGAAACCACTACCCATTTTACATTTGGAATTATAATGGCCATAGTGCAAAAACTATAAACTTCCAGGCTTCCAGCTCCCCATTCCAAAATAATTGCAACACCAACCTTTATTTGGCCAATTCTGAATGATTGCAAATTTGCAACACTTCCTGATTTACCATGAGACCACTACTATCTTATTGTTTCTCTCCCACTAACCCCACTTGGACTAATTTCAAAGCCCTCATTAACCCAAGTTGCAGAATGATATATCATGTATTACCAGCCTATTCACCTAAAACTACATGCAACCAGAAGTACTGTAAATTAAGAAATGGCGAGATTAACAAGCAATTGTTCTTTACATCAACTTTAGATTGCAAGCTATGATAAGAGCTAACTTCATCCAACTCAACAGTTAAAACAAAAGATTTCATTGATTTGGGATTTTTAAATCATTCAAGCAGGGAAGTATTTGAAACCAGGGCCCACTGAAAATGGCTTTATAAAGAAGGAAACGCCATTAAAAGATCTTAGTCAGCCAGACACTTCCAGCAAAATGAAAAGAGACCAACATATTTATCACACAAACATATTCTAGGGAATGAAGGTTCTAACAAAGGACTATGATTCGATATGAATGGATTATGCAGAAATGAATTATTTACCCTCTGATGTGCATCACCATGGAAAGAATGAAATGAAAAAACATTAAAAACCCCGTCCAGAGCATTTTAGGTAGCACACGAATGTAGCCAAAAAGCTAAGTAATCTTACGAGGGGTCAGAATCCAGATAAATGGACCGAGCTGTTTATGGTTTCATGTCAAAGTCTGGGTTGCTCATAAGATCTTACAAAAAACGGTGTAATAAGGAATTGAATAAATATTAAATAAGCCATAAGGATCAGATTCGGGTTAAAATTTTAATGTCAAGTTCAATTCTCTCGGTAATTTTGCTTTGGTTAATACCAGCTCTGCGCTCTACCCAGTAAACACCTAATTTTTCCACGATTGTAGGCTTTGGTCTTCAGCGGTAAGCCCGTGATGATAAAGGGTTTTGAAATTAACATATAACAGTCACCTGCCAGATACTCAGATAGTCAGTTTGCCACACAGGCATACAGTGACAATTTTAACAATCCATCCCCTTAACACCTCCAAACAACAAAGTGAGCATGTCCAGAATGTGCTGAATTTATACTAGCCCTGTAAGCAACAGGCTTGCCTTCACTAACTTTTCCCTTCTCCCTCCTGCTGGTTTCAGGGATGCTTTCAAACAGCAGCTAGCCCAACCAAAAGGGCTGCATCATTCATAAAGATGTGGATTATGCAGAGAGGCCACATAGTCAAATACATTACTAAATTACCACATAAATGCAAACATAACGCGATGAAAATTTAAAAGTATGAACAGGTCAAATTGCACAAGAGTATCCACAACCTACATGCATAAATCACAATACATGATCAGAAAAGGGCATTACCTCTGAGAGATGAGGGTACAAACCATTAATACAGCCCTCACCAACAGCACCAATGGCTAAAACAGCAGCTTCCCTCTGTTTCCAGGACTCATCATCACTAGCTGATAAATTAGCCTACAGAAAATGCAAGTATTACACAATTAACGTTATGCAAACCAACAATTACTTTTGAGATAAAAGCATAAATGTTATGAAGAAAAGTGCTGAATATACTAACAAAATTAAGTGATTATTATTATTTTTTTATTTTTTTTTTTTGGGGGGGGGGGGGGGGGAGATGTTCTATTTGCCCTAGATAAATTGAAAAAAAATGCAAACCAATACAAAATCACCAAAGGTCACACATTTTAAGTGCAAACTTATAAGTTAAACCAGTACAGTCCTACTAGAAATCAAATCAAAAGTAATCATGAAATCAGTGACTGCTAATCCAAAGATACCACTGTGTTTCAAAAGCATCCATCAGGAAGGGGCCTAGGAGAACAAAAAAAAAAAAAAAAAAAAAAAAAAAACAATAACAGCAAACATCACATTTCAAATACTTTGCTCTCCTCATCCTGGCTGGGCCAAATTAAAACCTCCAAATTATTTAGAGCAGCCCCAACTACCCCAAAAACCTCAACAACAAACATTCCAATGAAAGAACTGACACAATATGAAGTATCCATTGTCAACTGCTGAGATCTCTCAGAATCCTGACAAAAAATACAAAGATAACTAATGGCATAAAAGCCAAGGCACATAAGTATCCATTTGGTCATGAGCCGTTAAACAGAGACATGGGCGGCAAATACATCCAACTGCGGAGATTTCTCAGAATCCATACAGAGCAATGAGACTCCTGTAAATCAGTTATAAAACTACAAAGGACATTTGTGGCCTAAAGACCCGGGCAGATAATGGATTTCTAATATGAACTGGTACAGCATGAATCTAAATGAGAAATCGGTGCTTCACTCACTGACTTATGGATAATTAAATAAAGAGCGATTCCAATTACCCTCAAGTTGTAACTCATTTTGGCTTTTGTCCTAAATTTATATGTGAAACTTTGGACTCAGAACATTGTGCAAAAATTCATAAATTCACAACACAGCAAAAATGAATACCATAAGGCATAAATAATAAGCATTTACATAAAAGAACTTCTAAACATCGTAATTTTCATAGATTCCAATCAAAATTAAATCATTTACTACCCTAGCTACTATCTTACAGATCCCTCTCACAAAATCCAAAGCTACCTACTTGGTAAAGAAAGAAAATAGCTACAAAGAACTTGTGGGAAAAAAAAAAAAAAAAAAAGGGGGGGGGGGGGGGGGGGTCTAATACTCTGTTTCATCACAAGAATTAATTACCTGAATTAAAGGCATAAGTGTAGGAAGAATATTGTCCCCAAACACATTAGAAAGAATATCCAGAGCAGCTGCACTACATTTTCGTAGATTCCACACATTAACAACATCATCCTGTGCAACAACAAAGGATGAAAAATAACTTAAGCAATGTGCTACCTCTAGGACAACAATAACAACAACAAAGTCTTAGTACCAAAATAATCTGGGGTCAGCTAACAATAATTGTCGTTAAGAATCATCCACAAAAAATGGAAGAAGGAAAGAAAAGTGAGAAAATGAAAGTAGTCGAAAAAGGAGAGAAAACATAGTGAGCAAAAAACGAGGGCAGTGTAACGTAAAAGCCCAAACAGAGGATATAAAAATAAAATTTGAGAAGGTTTTATAAAAGAAGGCTGAGAAGAGATTAACAAATGAAAAAACATGCTAGTATGCCACCTCTAGCAACATGAAATTAAACTTCCAAGCAATCATAACAAAAAGACATGTATGGTTTTTATAAAACAACTGTAACGGGATCCAAAAGCATACATCTTCCTCGACCTCCTCTGATCCATGTAGACGTGATGAATGAAACCGGGGCTTCAAATCCTGTGACACCATGTTTTAACATTATTCTAAGCATTTAAATAAAAAAAATAAAAAAAAAAGAAAAAAAAAAGAAAAGAAAAGACAAGAAAAAGAAAAAGGTAGCTACAGAACATAAGTACCTGATCACGATCAGGTACAGACTCATCCTCCTGCAACCACATGTTTTGAAAACATGTTATACAAATCATACACTAAAGATTTCAATTTTCAAACACCAATTTTAACGACAGCACAACAGTCTTACCTCTGCTTCAGCTATTGTTTCGTCATCATCAGCATACACCATATTTGACAACAAAACCTACCACAATGTACAGTCAATTAAAAATAATTGTCACCCTTCATCAAACAAAAGACTAACTAGGATATATGAAGAGGACTAAAGACAACCAGAATAGAGCCAATTTTACAAGAGATGAGAATTTTAAAAGACTAAAGTCCCATCTGAAAGTCCAAAATTTAAGCAACAACACACGTCCACACATGTGTGTGTCCACACATAGGGAAGAAGGAAAATCCCTTGCAAAGTCGCTTGAAATGCCAAGCTGTGAAACTATTGAGTATAAATAAATCCTTTTTCACATGTTCAAAATTATTAGCTGCAATTTTCATAAATGAAAATGCATGTTTTAAACAAAGCAAGCTTGAAGGAAGATTATATACTTTCAGTTCAAGAACCTTAACTATTTGCATATTCACATAAATAATTTAAGGGTCTAATGAGAAGAAAAAAAAAATTTAGGGTCAAATGAGAAGGCAGCTCAAAAAGTGAATCAACAAAAGGGTAGGGTTCCGTTATGAACTTCTGGTGCAACCTTATAGTTATGTGAGTGTACACTCCCTCTATAATGTCATTCTTAATGTTTGCCTTTTCAACCCTCTGGTGTAAATCTTTGGCAATTAATATCTCTAATTACATATTATAAAAATATGATAGTATGATAATTTACATTGAAACGCATCTATTAGGATTTCAAATGACTATCTTTTTTACCTTTGACTACATGAACAATAAACAGGAAAAGACAAAAAATACAGAGAATTTATGAGTTAGAAATGCAACTGTTTTTGTATATTAGCAGGCAAAGTACTCCCAAAAAAAAATCCAAGTCTTACAGGAATAAGACGTGGTAGGAACTCCTTCAAGTTCTCAGGTGGCAATTGAGCATCACAATACGCAGACCTGCAACCAATCAATGATAATCCTTATGTAATGAATGCACATAAGTTGTAAATGCATGCTATATACTATGGAAAAATAGCAAAAATACGGGATAAGTAAAAGAATTCATGAGGTGTAAACCAAACTATCACAGTCACTCAATTGTATTCAGAATGCCTTAGCTGTATTAGTATCTCATTTGGAAGTGTAAGATTCAGCTTATAATCTAATCCCTCCAGCAGATTTTATCACATCCGCACAACTTCACTCCTCTTTCACCACTATTTCATAGATATCTTAATGGCTGTTAAACCCTAAAACCTATAACAGCTTCTTACACTCAAAACACCAAGGTCCCAATAAAGGTTTAGGTCCTTCTGTTCTGTGCACTGGTTATTTGGCAACATTCAAACTGATCTGCAGAACCTGCTAGGCTTCAGGATTGTGAAGCAGGACTCATCTCTTGCAATTGGGTGGCTAAAGCCTTCATACCTTTACATTGTTTTATTTTTTTTCTTTTCAGATACAGTGGGCTTGTTCACCTTCATCCTCATCAAAATTTGTGGACCTATTCAAAATATGAGGGAGCAAGAACGAAAAAGCAAAACAAGGCTACATATTGGGAGAAAATGGGGAAAAAAAAAATTGATAATATGCCTTGTGTTTCTATAGCGCTACTCTACAATAGCCTTCCACGGATGCTCCTTGATGATACAAAGCGTGACTAGAATTCTATTATTTCAGTTGACCTTACTAAAAGACTCATCGTCATCCATCAATTAAAAATAATTACTTCAACAAAAAAATACTACTACAGATCTGGTTTAATTAGCTATGGACATACTTACCAAAATTCACAAGCTTCAAGCGCAACTTCATCATCACCATCCTTGTTGACTTGCAGCATGTATTCTATGACATTCCTCAAATGGGGCTGCAATTTTGCAAAGATTATTGTGACTACTTTCCCTCATCCAAAGCCCATAGAAAACAAAATTGGAGAATAAAACTTTTTAAGCAAGAAATAAAGTCAGTCATAGGAAGTGAGATGCTGACCTCAAGAAATGAGGGCTTCACTTCAACTAGCTGAACAAAAGCTGAACAGACCTGCTCAATGTGAAAGCATCAAAATTTTTTAGAACAGGCACAAGATCCATGAACCTTATCATATGTCACATAATATGGTCGATACGATGAAATTTCAAAATAATACATAAAGTGGAACTATCAGCCAAAAGTACACATAATATAAGGTAGAAAACATATAGAAAGGAAAAATATCAACCGGATCTGATTACATAATTGGCAATTCTCAGTAAATTATAAGTATTACGTAGCTTGCCTGCTACATTCAGTATTCTTGGACAACACTAACCAGTTGAGTAGTTGACAATTACAACTTTCACATTAAAAAGGCTATTCCATCAAACATCCGATTCTGACAAACATACACTCCAAATTTCACAGTTCTCCCATTTGATGCCAAGCCATAAACCCCCATATCTGAGCTATTTTGTTGTAATCAGAACAGTTCAGAACTTCAGACTTATTGTCTTATTCCAATATGGTTAGGTATTCAGAATTGTTTTTGATACTTATTTCTCTTCCAGCAAGTTTAGTTCCTCATTATATATTCATTACTAATGGAGTAAATGAATACCTTCAAGAGAGCAAAAACAAGACCAACCTTCCAATACCCAATTCCTCTGAAGTATATTATCAAAAAGTATTCATATTAAAATCGGGTGAAGAAAAAAATACACATATCTAACTATCGACATAAAAGAGAAACGTTTCTAGATTGTAGGGAGCACCACATAAGGATGACATGTATAAAATGTAATAAATTTAGTAGAATCATTCGTCCCCTAGTAATGTAAAAGCTAAAAATATTACTAATTTGTATACAATATGCTCACACAAATTCTTATATGTGATTCCACACCATTAATTGATGGTGCGACGAATTTAAATATGGTTGCTATTTATGTATGGGTAAGTGACCATACAAAAATAGAATTATTGACCATGCATTTACAGGTATACTGCCAAGCAGATATAAGGACGCTGATAAGCAAGGTTACCGCTATTAAATCAATGGGGTTATTGATGATTTCGCACATCAACGAGCAAGTGATATATTTCAAAAGACAACTTTTGATAAGCTATGCTAAAAGAGGATAATATGGGTCCGGCTTATATGGTTTCAAAACTTTATCAAAATAATGGCTTATAATAATACAATTAAATTTGTGTCCACGGAGACTAATCAAACGACGACAAAAAAGACTTACCAGTTTTCGCACCTCCGGAGCAGGATCATTAGCAAGAAGAAACAAGCCATGGAGGTATTGGTCCATTGACGTATATAGATACTGAAACCAAAATCACATACATAAGGCTACATTGAAAACCAATTCATCAACATTCTACAGAGTGAAATTGTCAACAGACTTACAGATGGCATTAACATAATGTATTGATTGACTGAATTCAACGCAAGCTTCCTTAATAAGGCATGTGGTGATCCAAAAAACTGTTCCACAGGACAGACAAACAAAAGGAAAGTAAGAGAGGCCGATACACATGTTCAACAGCCCCAACAATTTGCAAAAATTCTAACCTGATATAGGAGTTGAAAAGGCAATAAAGCAAGCAAAGAGGTACCTCAAACAATTTTGGAAGGAAGATGTTGATTGGGCGTTCAGTCATCCCTGGAACATCTGCATCAAGCACTTGAGGTACATCTTCACAAACCTATTAAATCACATCCTTACTTCATGTCGAATATATTTCTAGTGATATGAGAGTAGTAGTTGTAAATTATAACTTAAGGCATTAAAGTGCAACAAGTAAAAAAAAAAATTAAAGTATTCAATATTGAGTTATAATTAGTTGACTAGTTGGATGTCTTTTAAATTAGAAAGAAAATGACTTCATATCATAGCTATCTTCCTAGTTACCCATCCCCTTCATGTCCATGATGTGTGACAAGAGAAAATTACATCAAATACAGGATCAGACGATCAGTAATGTTTAATGAAACACTAATGCAAATACAGCAATCAACTTCGAGTATTTTAGAAACATAGAGACGATTACGAAGATATATATGGCTAATGGTCCATGAAAGTCGAACCTTATGGCTCAAATGCACCTTTCATAGAGATGAAGGTAATGGCCAAAGAGCCTAAGAAATGGATTCTAACAAGAGCTACATCATTAGAAGCAGTATGGAATTAAAACTCAAATTAGCTTCAACATTATTAGTCTTTTTTTATGAGTCATATAGCTTTCAATACAAATTCAATTGAAGAAACAAGAGGTTCTAAACAATTATAATCAGATTATCATACAAGATTATCTCTATATGATACTATGGTTGTGAATGAAACTTGTGTATCAAAAGAGCTATTACTTACTTGTCACAAGTATTAAATTAATAGATTTACTGTTTTATATCAACCAAAGCATAGCCGTACCTTTGATAGAGCATCCATAGCTCCTTCAACTTGATTGGGATCAGCACTTCCTAAAGAAGTTAAGAGAGCCTGCAACAGCTCAGGCCAGCCAATAACACCCACCAGCTGCACAATAACACTAATAATGGTCCCAGCAGTTGTGCGAATGTGCCTATCAGGTGATCCTAGACAAGGCAACAGCTGCGATTTAATATATTGCTGATTAGCTGGGGCCATAGTATTAAAAACAGTTCTAAGATTATTCTTCAGAAGTAGCCCAGCAGCTTGCCGAACTTCCACAGGTTTTATCTGCAAGGAGAAAGGAAGCAAATTTAGAGAGTAGTTCATCATTCAATTACTGAATAATAATTCTGTCTGATCTAAATGTGCAAAACACAAGAGTAATGAGTTATGATAGCATTTATAAGGAATGCAATAAAAAAATAACTTCCCTAAAAGAGAGAAGTATGGCAGAATATTTCAAGCAATCCTACGAGTTCTTCAGAGCAAGAGCAAGAGCAATCCATCAAACACTAATGCTTGAAATATAAATATATATATATATATATATATATAGAGAGAGAGAGAGAGAGAGAGAGAGAAAGCGCAACAACGAAGAATAAAGTACAGAATAACAGAAACTAGTCCTCGCAGAGAATTGATACAACAAGAACTAAGACTGAAAATTTTAAAGTACAATCTATAGAAAAACAACGTCTTGCAAGGGATCAGAATAATGGCAGACAATGAAACTACAAGCAGATGTGGATTTACGTTGAAGAACAGGGTGTATGCTACCCCCAAGTCCCCAACCCCAAAGAACAATCCCAACTTCGAATTTTGCCAAGAAAAACATCTTGTATCTAAAATTCAAATCTTAACACATACTCCCTAAGCATATATATAGTTAACTCAATTAGTAAATCAGTTTTTTTAGTCTTGCTAGGTCAAAATGAAGCTTTAATTTCAGTAGTAAAGATAGTATGTTAAGATGGATGAGTCGCAACACACTGAGGGATAGAATTAAAAATATAAATATTCAGAGGAAAGTTAGAGTAGCAGATTGGTATTGAGGATTAGATAAAGAACTAAAGAAGAATTGGTTACTAATAGTTTGAGAGACATTAATGGAAAAAGCACCAGTAAGGAAGGTGGGAGGTTGGGGTAATGGAGACCTAAGAGCATTCCCAACAACGAGCAAAAATTGGTTTCCTCATTCTCTCTCTACCCACTTTCTCTCTCTTCCAACCTATGAGCATTTTTGTGATCATATTTTTATCCCACCAATGATGAAAAAAAAAATTTCTTCCCCATTCTCTCTCTACTACACCTTCTCTCTTACTTTTACTAATACCTTCTTATATTTCTCTCTACTATATTATTTTTTATTCTTTTTTTTACTTGCATTGTGGACCCCACATGGTTACTATTCATCTTAAAAATGCTCATCCTAGTGGACCCCACATGGTTACTATTCATCTTAAAAATGCTCATCCTATGAGCAATTTTCATTTTGCTCATTGATATAAGTCATTTTTGTTTTAATTTCACCCAAAGTTTTGCCCATGAGCAGTTTTTTGCTCATTGTTGGTAATGCTCTAAGCATAGTCAAGACCAGAGATGATTTAGCTGGAACAAATTAAAAAGGACATGAAGAGAGAGGGCCTAGTAAGTGATGTAGAGCATTAGATAGAAGTGAATGGAGGAGAAGGATCTTTGTGCGATAACCACATGACAAAGACTCTCGGCTCATGCAATGACCCACATCACTAACGTCTTTTTACATTTATTTCTAATAATAAAAAGACACTAACCCCACTGTATTATTCTTACATTCCCTATATATATATATATATATATATATATATATATATAGTCAAAGTAGAGTTTGTAAATAGTGTCAAAAGTTGAAATATGTCAACCAATTTGAAAGAACATTTTTTTTAAGCACTTCATTTGCATAAACTACGAGAAACCAAAAACAAACAAATATATATATATATATATATATATATGTATATATATATATTCAAATAGTTCTCTCTTTAATTTTCACAAAAAAATTAAAAAATAAAATAAAAAAAAATTGCAAATTTAATGTTTTAAGAATTTGTAATTCAATGATCCCCCAGCTTATTTAACATTTAACTGTTCGTTTCTTAGCATCATACATTGGTGCTACCCACCCCCAATATCCTAGATCCACTACTTATTACAAGCAAAGTCAAAAATGGCTTACAAAGCTTATACTTATGAAAATTTAAACAATAATTCAAGGTCCACACCAACTCTCTAAAGAAAATAATTCAAATGTGTTACTCACAAACAGAAAAAATGCGGCCATATACAACCCAACACAAGTCCGCTGATACGGGTATGAAATATGGTCCTGACACACCATGATGACATTAGGTATGGCAAAACTGCAGAATATTTCAAGCAATCCTACGAGTTCGCAAGAGCAAGAGCAAGAGCAAGAGCAGTCCATCAAAGTTAACTCCTTTAATATCATTAAAATAATGACAGATTGAAAGCTTAAACTTTTACTGTATTTATTTTAAGTGTTACATTTGTTGGGAAAATTCTATAGGATTACCATAAGACCCAGTGTTGCTTTATAGTACAGAATGTTGCTCTTCCAAGCAAAAACACATAAAAAAATAGAGGTTATAGGAATGCACATGTTAAAATGGATGTGCGGGAACACTCTAAGAGATAGAATCAGAAATGAAGTTATTCGAAAGAAGGTAGGTGTTATAAGCATTGCAACAATCTAAGTGAAATTCGTCAGTGTTGGTTCCAGCATGTAAAATGAAAACCCAGGTACGAAGAGTGGAAGAGTGGAACCATAGAGAGCTTAAAGGAAGGAGATCGAAATTGACTAGGTTAGAAAAATTACGAAAGATATGAAGCAAATAACTTTGCATGAGAATTAGGCATTTTATCGTTAAGGATGGAAGCGGAAGATTTTTGTGGATGACTATATGGAATAATCAGTTTTGGTTCATATAGTCTAAGTTGCGCAGAAACGGATACGGGTACAAAACCGGGTACGGATACGGGATATGGCAAAATCAAAATTCCAAGAAATGGGTAAGGCAAGAATACGGCAAAAAAAATCATTAAAATATAAATCCATAAAAAGTTTTTATAAAAAAAAAAAAAAATTGAAAAAAAAAAAAAACCCTTAAAAAATGTCAGCCTAGTAGCCCACTTACCTTCTTATTCACCATATACGAGTATTATACAAAGTCGGAGTATTTACTACTCCGTAGTATATACTTCCACTAAACTGGCAGCCTACTTTTCCCACCTACCCAGTACCCATGTGAGGGAATTAAATAAAACTAAATAATTAGTTAGCCGGCTCAGCCCACTTACCTTCTCTCTCCTAGTTCAAAATTTTAGATCTAAAGCTCGATTTTAATGGGGAGGTTCTCCATTTCTCTCTCATTTTCCCTATCTTTTTCTTGTAAAAGCGAAAAATTCATTAATAAAATTAATATTTTTTCTATAATATCGGTCGTTGCGGAGGTCAGTCAAAGAAAATTCACGAAGTCATACAATTTCTAGGGCGATTTATCCAAGGAATCGTGGTCGCATTCTGTAGTTGGCTTCTTCAATTTTTAGGGTTCTTGAGAAATTGAAATCAGATAAGTAAATTTGGGGTTTTTTAATTTTGAATGGGCTGGGGACGTCAGAAAAGAAGCAAATCCGTCCCCGAAACGTACCCAAAGCTGCTCCCAGCCGTCCCCAAAATATCTCCGTGTACCACTTTTCAAGGGTACGCCATGGGGACGTATCCGGGCCGTACCCGTACCGTACCCGATACGTCCCCGGTACGAGAGACGGCTGAAGATTGTCGTACCCGTGCATCATTACATATAGTCAACCCCACTTACGGGATTAAGGCTTTAATTGATTTATTTATTCATTTAAGAGGTAGGAGTATTTGGGATAGTCGGGTCATGAATGTAGGGAAGCTATCATGTACTCCTATCTTTTTATTTATTTATGTTTACTTTTGACATTCGACCCCAATCAATTAAACTACTAAAATGCATCCATTTTTCTAGGATAGACATCACATTATTGTGTAGGGAAAAGACTTCCCATTTTATTACTTCTAAACTCGTGACATTATCTTATAATGTAATTCTATTTAAAAATGAAGTTGACAATCTATTACAATCCTAAATTGTAAGCTTCTGCACAAGTTAGCTAATTATTTTTTAAAAAAATTCTATTACCCGCATTACATTAATGAGTAAACAATATTAGTTTCTTATGATATATATTTGGTGTATCCCCGTATTTGTGTTGAAACTTTAAAGTTAAGATGGTGTCTACACGTCCAAAATATTCGGAAATGATGTACAGGACACTTAAATGATTAAATCCGTACCCATAATAGATACCCATACCTGTGTGACTATGTCCATGTAATATAGCTACTTAGACATTTACTAAAGCAATGCAGTTAATTTAAACTGTATTAGAACATGCCTGGGTCTAATGTCATCATAGACATTGGTGTTAAAGGTAAGATCTTCAAAATATGCAACATATATGTTTGATAAGAAACAAAAATTATCAATAGACGACTCCTACAAATTTTTAGTTACTCCCAAGTAAATCTAGAAGCAAGAGCTAGATATATCCATGAGTTTTTTCACATTTTTATCAATTGTGCACATTTAAATTTCTCTAAATGAGTAAAATTAATAAAATGATTAAAAAGTCCCTACTAAACTCTAGTTGTACCTTGGAATAAGATAAAGGTGCTAAACTTCTTCTACGAATAAGTCAAACAATCTCTAGTTACCTCGTTATTCACCAGATGTTATTCAATAATTTTTCTCCTCTCAAACACAAGTCAATAACATCTTAGCTTGAAAAATGAAAATTGAATACCATCTGTTAAACCAAGACCTAATACATTGAAGAAATCAACTACGTGAAACTTCTAAAGACAACCTAGCAATCTAGCATCACTAATCAATATAAGGAGCTCCCAAAGATATCTAGCCTATTAAGATAAATTTCCCTTATGGCCTTACATAAGTTGAGCTTAAAAGTCAAATGGAGCTTAAAATTCACTATAAGCACGACAGCAAAATTTCACTTCAAAAATATTTTAAAACCCCAAAAATTCTGAAATTAAATTACCTTGCATTGGCTTCAAAAAGAAAGATAAATATCGTTTGACAAGTTTTTGCGTAGTTTAGTGGGCATCCACAAATAACACAATGAATAAATCATCAACTAATTATAATATTCTCTACACTTCAATCAATTTAACAATAATAACATAAAATCATGAAAATCAATCAAAAATACCACAAAGCAAAAAGCAATTGAAGAAGAGAAAATTGACAAAGATGCAGAGAATGGGTAGATACCTCAGCATGAGACAAAATGAAGGCGAGGTAGTTATTGAAATCCGGAAACTGTGAGTAATGTTGCAACTGCTGCCAAATCTGAGTTTTATCAGAATTTGGAACAGGTGACATTTGCTGCTCCAATAAACCGCATATCTCCTTGATCCCTTGCTCTTGTGGTTGCCATAAAGCACCATTAGTTGCCAATGCCGCCATCACTTCACTAGTTAAAGAACAAAATGGCAATTCCAGGTCAAATATCGATTATAATCGAAAACACATCCGACTCCCTAAAAACTATATTACAACATTAGTCTGCCACAAATATGCATACAAGCCCATCCCTGAGCTGGGGCAATACGGCGGCTACCCAAGAAGAAAAAGGCATGTTTTTAATAGTTCCATCTTAACATTTAAGGGTTATAAACAAAATTCTGCAACATATTAACAACTAAGTTTGATTTAATTATCAATTTAGGGTCGAAACAATGCATAAAAATTCAACTCGCTTAATAATGTGAATAGCAACATTCTATCAATGAAATCGCTCGATAAAATCAATCATTACTTGAGTATTTATTACCATTAGTTCAATAATCATCATCATAAAAACCCTAAATTGACCAAACTGCAATTAAATCAACGATAAACCCTAGATTGTGAAATTGGTATTCGATTATTAAGAAAAAAAAAAATATCTTACCTTAGAAACTGCTTTAATGGAGGAGAGAAAGCTTAGAAGCCGCTTTTATGGAGAAGTCGGAGTACGCTTCAATGGAGGAGAGAGAAAGGAAGGGTGCAGCCTTGCAGCGATGCGGACTAAACGTGAAAAAATACCGAAGGAAAAAAAATGGAGGAATACTAATGACACGTGTATAATGTTAACTGCTACGGCCTACGGAGTACTAATGTACTATACATCTTAATTGCCGGTTATATTTATACCAGCTGTCACGATCCGGATGTTTTGACGTTGGATTGTGTGGTGCGCTCTTACCTTTTAGCGACAAGAAGGTAAGCTTGGTGCAAAAATGGAGGTCGTGTGCACAAAATAGCACAAGCGGGTAAACGTATCTTAAGTAAGCACGCATCTATGGGTAACGAGTGCGGAGTCAGGGTATGTGATGGCCGATAAAATAAAGCGGGTACAAGCGAGTCCAACGACAAAGAGAGTTTCTTGGGAGGTTCTCTTAGTTTGAAGGGAATTCTTTAAAAATTAAAACAAAACAAGCACAATATGTATAAAAGACTTACAAAAATACACAAGTTTCAAAACAATATGCAACCGGATAGGGAGCTTGACTTAATGTGGGTTTTATTATACATGTAGGTTTGAGATATGAAATGTTACATTACCGAGTAAGAATTATCGATATAAAGGCAACCATGTCATTGTAGCTTGTTCAGTTCAAAAAGTACTCAACACGTTATCTACGAAAACTTTAGTTTGGTCGTGACTCGTGAGTCTTTTTAAGGACTTTAAGCACAACTAAGCTGAACACTTTTCTACCATAAACTTGTTTTCTTCAAAAGAGGTAAAAAAGAAGGACCAATACACTTCCTAAAGGTTGTTTTGGAACAAATTCAATTTCTTTCAAACCCCTAAAATATTAACTTGAATTAAGAGTAACCTAATAATTAATAATCATATGGCATTTTTCATCATCAAAAGATAACAAATACAAGTATATATATGCCTATCTTAATTATTGGATCATATGAAACTTTTCTCTACAAAAATTACACTTGTGTATCAAATTTAACAATTAATCACGTTTCTTTTTTCATAAAGATGTTTCGTACAACTTTCCACAAAAGGCTCCATTAAGTTGATTTAAATCATCCAATTTGATTAGTCTTTATCATAGAGTATATTTTTATATTTTGGATGCTGCTTCAACTACAACAACATACAGTGTCTTCCTCCAAGCTAAGCTATCATCAGTCATGAAGGGTCAAGCACAAATTCACAAACATAAGCATGCACATAATCATCATCAACAGAACATTGAACTTTATTAGATTTAACTTCAAATTCTAGGCTTCCCCATTTTACACAAAACCCCTACCAAAATTTTAAAATAACAAATTTAGAGGTGTTTGTTGGGATCACATATTCACATGTACCTTAACTCCTAAAGTGTCCAGTGCTGAAATTATACGACGGTGTTTATGAAATAGAAGTACAAAGTATATTCACATGTACCTTGAAAGTATAAACGAAGTACAAAGTATATGGAAAAGAAAGAGAGCTTAATTGCTAGGATTGATAGCATTCCCATCATTGCAACCAAATACAAGGCGTAGTACATTTAAGTCCATTACCAGTTCGCCATGCCTCTTCCTCATCAACACAATAACACATGCCAAGCAAGCAGATATCTATCACCGATATTTTGTGATTCTTTCCCATAACTTTACTTATGCTGTCAAACAGGTACAGATGCACAATATCTCACACGAATTACAAAGACTTCTTGGTTCTACTTCCACAGCTTGCGCAGGGACATGTTCTTATCTGTATCCTTCTTCATAACCTTGGCCACTGCCATTTCAAAGTCTTCCTGGGTAACATGAATTCTTCTCTCCCTCAGAGCAAACATGCCAGCTTCGGTGCAAACTGACTGTGAATTTAAGCAAAGAGACAATGTTATACATCTATAGAAAATCATAGCAGATCCGCACAAAAATCCACAAATGCCTACTCGATTAAAAGAATAAAGCCAGTATCAGAGCAACATGCTTCAGCATTAGAGCAAATTCAACACACTCATCTACAAGATATATAACCCAAATAGGAAAGGTTGCAAATGGAATAACTACTTGTAAATAAAGCAAGAGCTACATGACAATTCGCTTATAAAAGCAAGGGTTCCCAAAAGGGTCTATATATATACTACAGCAACTTTCAAAGCATAAAGGGAAGTTAAAAAAAAAAAAAAAAAAAAAAAAAAAAAAAAAAAAAACCTTAAGCTCTGCACCAGATGCACCATTCATCTTATCTCCAATCTTCTTGAGGTCGATCCCTCGCATCAAGTTCATCCTTCTTGAATGAATTTTTAAGATATCAAAACGTGACTGAAAGTGCAAACAAGCAAGAATCATTAAGTACATTATAAAGTAGTAAAACTTGAATGATTAAGTGTGACTGCAATGGAGACAAGATTTTGATTTAAGAACAGTATAGTTAAATTTGAGAACTATAGAAAAACTCAAAAAACCCTGTAAAATTTCAAGTCAGAGACTTTATATAGCATTTAGCATACCTCTTCATTGGGATTTGGGAACTCGATCTTCCTATCAATTCTTCCTGGCCTGAGAAGAGCTTGATCTAGAATATCAATTCGATTTGTAGCCATCAGCACCTACCAATTTCAAAAAGTTAATGATCTTCAACAGTAGTACAAGTACATTAATCTCTCATGTCTCAAGTCTTATCACAACATAAAATTGCATGAACAGGCAATACCTTGATCTTGTTGGATGCTTCAAATCCGTCAAGCTGGTTGAGAAGCTCCAACATTGTTCGCTGAACTTCACTATCACCGTTCCCAGAACCAGACTCCATTCTAGCAGATCCTATACTATCAATCTCATCCATAAAAATAATTGATGGAGCATGCTCTCTGCAAGCAAAGAAAATAAGAAATTTTCTAGAATTAAAGAAAATCAAAAAACCACCAGTTTGCGATTAAATCAATTATCAAATGCCATTTTTTCAAGTAAATGTCTGCATTAACAGTATGATTCAAGGGTGTTTCTTTAGTTAGCTCATCTTGTGTCAAATGAGTCAAATCAAAATGCCAAAAATGAAATACAGGTGGAGATGAACCATGCTTAGTAGCTTCATTCCTCAAATTACATGAATTTAATTATATCAATGTTTCAAGACAGAAACATACCTGGCCATCACAAAAAGTTCTCTGACCATCCGAGATCCTTCACCGATGTACTTCTGAACTAACTCAGAACCTGATACCCTGATAAAAGTACAATCTGTATGGTGAGCAACAGCTCTTGCTAATAGGGTTTTGCCAGTTCCAGGAGGACCATAAAGGAGGACACCCTGATAAAGGGACAATAATGTAAATTAGGTTATTGAAAGTATACACCTTACACTAAAACACTTTGACAAGTATATAACTTTGAAAGAAAGCGCCAACATTTAACAGATTAACACTATAGAATACCTTTGGTTGAGCAATTCCAAGACTCTCAAATAACTCTGGATGTTTTATTGGTAGCTCAATAACCTAACCAAGTAAAGAACAAATCAAGTGTGAACAATCAAATAGACAAGCAACATATCCCTAAGTAATACTAGTAAAGTAGTAATAAGATTTACAGAAAATTAAACGAAAACAAAACCTCCTTTATCTCTTTAATCTGTTGGTCAAGACCACCGATCATATCATATGTAGAATCAGGAACTTTCTCAACTTTCATCAGATTGACTAGAGGGTCTACTTTACTTGGCAGAACCAGATGCAGGACATAGCTGTCATTTCGTAATGCAACTCGTGTAGATGGTGTGAGCTTATTGATGTCGATATTCTTATCTATATCAACAACATATTTACCCTCTGGATGCACCTGAACAGCACAAGGATATATGACAAAATAAGCAAGAAAGAACAAGTAACAAGATCAACCAATGATAAATAGAGCAATTTCCTCCCCTCGCATACACCTCCCCCACCCCCCTCTCTAAAAAAAATAAAAAAATAAATAAAAAAAAAAAAGAAAAATAACAGAGTCACAGACACAATAACATATCCTGAATTCCACCTAGATAGATAAGGCCAGAAATAGTTTATATTAATAAAAATTTGTACATCAACAACAGATAATGATTAAACATTATTGAATGCCAATTGACATGGTTTTTTTTTTTTTTTTTGAATAGCCCAATTGACATGTATTTAGATAATGCACTAAAATTGAAAATTGTCTAAATAGCCCATATTTTTTTCTTTCACTTAAAAAAAAAATAAAATAATAAAATAAAAAAGACAAACTTTTGTTTTTCTGTTTTTTTTTTTTTTTTTTTGAAGAAAGACGGGCTAGTTCATTATTCATTAAGCATCAAAGTGTCCGAGAGTACATACAAAGATATATCACTAGGATAATAATTCTCCCATACTTGTTCTACCCTGAAGGGAACTAACCTAGCGAGATGATGGGCGACCAAATTCCCATCTCTTAACACATGAGACAAAGCGACAGACTTAAAACAAGAACCTAAATACATAATATCTCCAAGAATCGAATCAAGATCAGAAAAGAAAATCACACCCTTTGCAAGCTTGTTTATTAGAAGTTGGCAATCAGATTCAAGCACAATGTTCTCATAAACATGATATTTGCATTTTAAGGTAAATTTATATAAAAATGGACGTGTTATAATTACAAATGCCCTAGAGAGATTCAAAGTGTGTCATGGGAGGAGAAAGAAAATCAGACCTTTATTTGTTTATTCCTTCTCAATGTTTTATATCCAATTATTTCTGATTTTCTGGTAGATATTAAGAGTAATGACTGAAAGACAAGATGAGAAAATCTCCATTGGTGACGTCTTTAATCGCGACTATTGTTTTCACAGCTAATTCAACCATCTAGCTCAAAATCTATTTGTAATACAATCTCAGTAAAATCAAGACATATTAATTACATCAGTATCAAAATTCCAAAATATTCTCAAGCCTCGAGGAAAAAAAAAACAAGGGTAAAACACTCAAAATTCCAAAATATTTAGTTCAAAAGCGAAGGTAAAACACTCAGTTGTAAGATGCAAATAAGTAAACCAAAATAGGAAAACAAGGTAGCCACAAAGAACAGCATTGGTGTTAAACAAAATACGGTAGGATAAGGTATCAAAATCCGGATACACATGAGATG